GTGTGCCCAAAAGTCAGCATAACAGAAAGATGACATGTATTTGTTCCCCATATGTTGTATCATCATCATCATGATAACTGCCTCACTGTACTGTTTAGGATCTCCATCGAACTGGCTGCAGCTGGTTTTGTGGTCAGGATACTCCAGAGGAAAGAGCATCACTGAAGCGTGTTCTTTTAGCTTATGCCAGACGCAACAAGGCTGTGGGTTACTGCCAAGGATTCAATGTTATTGCAGCATTAATTCTTCAAGTTATGGACAGAAATGAGGAGGATGCACTAAAGGTACATCTGTAATGAATTGGCCATGATTTTTGTTGTTGTTGTTTTTTGTTTGTTTGGTTTAGTTTAGTTAAATGAATTTCAAGGATACATTTTCTGTCTACTTTTCCAAGAGCTTTGAAAATTGTCACTTTCACTCTTAGTTAGGAGTGATCAACAATTGATATCAATATGCTTAAAAAATAAAACTAGTGAAGAGAATTAAAGAGAATTATCAATTCAGGCCTATTTTTTTAAATTTAATACCCTTTCCCTGATTTGGCATTAATGACCAAAAAATTATATAGAAGAGAAAAGGGAAAATTAAGAGTGACATCTTCAGTGTGTCAGGAGTTAATATATTTTTAGATCAGCTTTTTAGAAATTAAGTGGTGATATCATAAAGTTGCGTGAATTGTGCAATATTGCTGGCTGCAATCTCTTTCACAGGTAATGGTTTATGTCATTGACCATGTGCTTCCTACAAACTACTTTGCAAATAACCTGCGGGCACTTTCTGTTGACATGGCTGTCTTGCGTGACTTAATGAGAGAAAAGTTAGAGAGGCTATCAAAACACCTGGATAGCTTACAAGCACAGGCCCTGTCACAGAATGGTTCCAGTGCCATGTACGAGCCTCCCCTTATCAATGTTTTCACCATGCAGTGGTTTCTGACACTATTTGCAACTTGTTTGCCGGAGGAGACTGTTTTGCGTGTGTGGGACTCCATCTTGTTGGAAGGCTCAGAGGTGCTTCTCAGAGTTGCTGTTGCTATTTGGGGTAAACTTGGAGAGTATGTATCTTTTGTTCTTTTTTTGAAACGTAAATAATTATTGTAAGCTATGTCATTGAAAATATTAATTGTGGGAAATTGTCGTAAATGCTGCTAGAAAGTGCTCAATACACCAGTGTAGAGCGAAATGCAATTCAAACTGACTAAAATCAATCGTGTGTTTCATTTTAGTCAGTTTGAATTGTAATTGAAAATAGTATTATAAATTATTGTAATTTGTTTTCTAATTGCAAATAATGTAATTTAACAGAGAAGAGCCACCCAGTGGATCTGTTAAATAAACCATTACTATAATTATTATTATTGTTATTAAACTATTTCTTGTTTTCTATGCGTGTACTTGTATTTAGTACAGATTTATGTGTAGGTTTGTCATTCGGTCACCCTCGGACTTCCTACATGTGTGGTCAAGTACAGTTTACTGTAGTTGCATGTACAAGCATGTCCCTTTCAGCTAAAATAGTCATAGGAAACATTAAGTTTCCAGTCACAATTTAATGTGAATTCGTCAAAAAACTGAGGCAAAGAATCTTCGTTTATCCTTCATGCAACCCAAATTGTATGACTTGAAATGATGTTGAGATGAACTTTAGAATTCTACTTTAATTTGCTCTTTTCAGGATCTCGTTTTTTTTTTATGTACAAGAGGGCATTTGCGGAGGTTTCTAAGAGACAGTATTTACTGGCGGCTGACAGGCTTTAAGAATAAAAGGGATAGCGCACGTGTACTTTTCCCATACCGAGAGCAGATTTCAAACCACTTGTCGTGTGGAATCTTTGCCTTTTGAGGAGGTGTTGTGGTGATTTGATAGGGATACAGTTCTGTTACACTTCCATTCCCAAGGATTTTTTTCCCAATGCCATTCAAACACCAAGATTTACTCACAATTTGAATTCTCCTCCTCTAAGAGGTTTTGTCTCCTTGTGCTAACACAACACTTTTAACCAAAATAGCTGCGCACTCGAATGCCTCCGAAATTAGCTGTCGGACTAAAAACATCGATACAGCTTATGGTATAGGACACATTTTCTTTCCATCAGGCGCCTTGAAGACGTGGAAACTTCTGATGACTTTTACACCACCATGGGGGTANTTTTTTTTTGGCGAAAAAGCGTCAAACAATTTCAGCGTGTAGACTATCACTACCCTGTAGTTAACTCTAACTCTCAGGATCTGATATTAGGGACCTTGAGAAAGCACGACGGCGACGCCAAGGAAGACTTTAATTAAAAACTAAATTTCTACTCTTAGTTAGAATTTCAAAAATGGCTGCAGGAGCTTACTGTCTCATACAACGCCACAGCTCAACTTCAGCATGACGTATAAAGTAGCCGTTGAGTTCCAAATGGAAGTCAAGATAATTTGCCGCCGTGGTTTCGGTTCACAGACCACGCAAATTTTGGCGATTTCACGTCGTTGTTTTGCATAGGACGGCTAAGAAATGTACAAAGTTTCAAAATGCACGTGCTGAGCTATTGTTCTGCTAATTAGATGTCTTGTTTTTCCACGTCCTCGTTGCCGTCGCCGTCGAGGTTTCTTAAGGTCCCTAGTAATGGCGACGACGACGACGACGTTAATAATACTAATAATAATAAAATATAATATTTAAAGAGGATACTCCCATCACATTGAGTGGTTTTCAGGGGGAGCCCTCTGACTAAAAATACATTTAGATTAGGTAAAAACGAGAAAAAAAAGATTGTATATGTAGAGGTATAGAAAGATTTAAAAACACTAAGATTAAAATACTAAATTTAAGAATATGCTAAGGTTTATAAGGTAATTTTAAAAAATAATTATTTAAGTGTCTTTTAAAAATTAATGGTGGCATAGGCATTTTCAACTCAGGCGGAAGTGCCAACCATTCGTTTGTTGCTTGATAAGATGTTATGCGTCGTCCCCATTCCGTTAATAGTTGTTAATTGTTGATTTTAATTCTCCCCTCTAGCTGCTACATATTTCCTTGTAAATAAATTATGATAATTTGGTGTTAGATGAAGGTATCAATTTCTCCCTGATAAGCTTGAGTATTCTCATTACCTATTTTCTGGATAATGTAAGGATATTGTTGGGAGAAGTTTCATGTTAATCACTTCTGGGAGGTAAAGGGTTAATGATTTGATAAGAAAGTGTTGATAAGCTCAGCGTTCTCCTTTTCAAGCGGAAACCGGTAATATTTTCTGCCAGCAGTAGTTCGTATTTTCACCTGAAATCGTTTCAAATCAGTCTTAAATTTAAACGGATAAAAAGTTGCTTTACCGGTTTGAAAATTTATGTTACCTGCCGATCTTCAAATAAGTGCGAACACTGTGGGTCACTGTATGCTTCCTTGAGAAAAGTAAATGCTTGTTTTGGAAGTTTAAATCGATAATTGTTTGATTTGGATTTTCGATTTCTGATTCGCTTCGCTTTCAAAAACGTGCAAGATGGATGCGGTAGAAAAATTGTTGCAAAGAATCGCCATGTGGCGTGCCATGTTAGTACCAATTTTTAACGCGGACATGTAGCTTTAAAATTGTTAAGATTTCCCTTTGTTGTCATCTCTAGGAGGTGTACGCTTTGGCTCCGTTTCCCTTACCAGGGTTAGCAGAACTTCGAGAACAGTACACGTACAACATCAACCCGTTTTCAGACGCTACCGACGACCGAGGCCAACGATCAACGCTAGGACGGGGTTCTAGTGATGAAGAAGACGACATCGATGACTTGGAAGGGATCGGTTGCTTGGGAGCTCTGTTGCCGTTCTCGGAATTTGCCCCTGGAAATAGCACAAAAGCGCTCGTTGCAGATGCCGAGGATTTGAATGACATTGCAGCTGCTAGTCCGGGTGTGTTTGCTACTGACGGGTACTCTCCTCTACCGTATACCACGAAGCAGTTTGGTTCACGAGGACGCCGTGTTCATCAGGAGATGACCTACTTGCAGAGGCAGTATGCTAGGATGAGGCAAAGGCAGCAAAATGCTGTGGTGGTGTTTTCAGAGGCCACAGTACAGAACATACAGGAATCTGAGAAACGCAAGAGTATTCCTGCTGCTATTAACCATCTGTTTGTATCAGCTACTAAGAAAAAGATTAAGACTGCCAGAAGTCATTTCGGAGTCAAGAAGGAGAACGAGACGGCGAATACTAGTGAACTGTTATCAGTAGGAGATGTGGTCAATTCTAAGAGTGAGTCCAAAGTTGAAGTGAAGCCGAACGCGTACGAGAAGGAAAGCATGCAGCATTTGAATGAGTTATTCAAAGGTGACCAGAAGGAAAAGAAAGAAACAAAACAGCTTACAGAAGAGAAAGAGACTCCAGAAGCGAGTGCAAAAGACCTTCAAACTGAAAGGACAAAAGAGACATCTGTGAGGAAAATTCCAGAAGAAAAGAAAAAACAAATTTCAGACGAGAAACCGGCTAAAAATGTTAAGCGAACTACTCCAAGTACGCGTAAAATTAAACATGTTGGATTAAACGGTGAAGTGTCGTCGTTAGAAACTGAAAAACCAGCGCAAACTCGATCGCTTCTGTCTGGTTTGAATGCCAGTAGTAAATCCGCAAAAGTTACGGTAGTGGAATCTTCGTCATTAAAAGTAACTGCGGCGGACAGTGATAAGCCCAAGCCCGTGAGGATAGTAGACAAAAACAGCCCTGCTGTTCTGGACGCAGGCGCAGTATCGTTCGGTGGCACGGGACGGGTATACACCCGCTCGTATCACGGGTCGGGTTGTAACTCCAATAACAGCGCTTGGCTCTTGGAGGAAGACAAGAGGTGTAAGTATCCCGAGAACTTCAGACCTTTTCCTCAAAGAAACAAGCAGCCAAGTAGAAGCAGGATTCTGTACGGAAACGTGTCGGAGAAGGGCGCTAAGCGAATGGACGCGTTTCAAGGGAGAAAGGAAACTCGGCAGGGATTTAACAATGGCTTAGCTGTTAATGGTGCTTCGGATAGCAAACGTAGTTAGTTGTCAATCTGTTTTGTTTACATTAAGGGGTTGACCATCTGTTTGCAGAATCGAGCGAGTGAGATCGCCAGATTTCTTGATGCTATCTTGTAGAGCGAAAATGGAACCTTAGGGTTTACGGTTGAAGCACCGTTTATTCTTAATCCGGAAATATTTGGAAAGGTTTAGGATAACCTTATTTACAAAGGTAGCCTCCTTTGCCGACGTCGTTTAGGGTCGTAATGCTGGAGGCTTCTTTCCCTCCACTCCCTTATAATAAGTGTGGTGAAACTTGCCTTATTCGCAAAAAGTCAAAAACGATGTTTGAAGGGGAAAATTTTGGTAAAAGCGAAGCATGGTTAGAAGGCAAAAACTTACATTTTGTATGATAGTCTGACAGTCTCGGTCATCGTGTGAGAATGGATCTACCTGTCTGACTCTCATAAATTCTCGGTCCAAGAAGCAACACGTTAAAAAAATTTTATGATAACTATGACTTAATTATGGACTACAAATATGAATAATATAACATAATATAAGAAATAATTGTATTTTTTTTGAAAAGTTAACACATTTTTGAAAGGGAGATAACATAATGAAGTGTATTCAAAATTTTAGTACCAGGCATAAATGTGGTTACCTTTTACTCCTAGAATTGATCAGTAACTGTATCCTCCAGTGACGACCAGCCGGGGAACGAGAAGTTAGAAGTTGATCAGTTAATGGTTTTGTTTTTGTTTGTGTCTAGCGCCAAATTTTTCCGAGTCATGAATTCACTTTCAGAGCTTGAAAGTTTACATTTAATTATCTATCTCCTCAGAGATGGAATTGTCTGGCATCAAATAATATTTATAGACCATAAGTTACCTTAGCTAAGGGAAGAATAATTTCCATCTTGCACTAATGGGAGTTGTAGAACATTAAACTTTATTGTATGATGAGTATATTTTTGAAGGTGTATAACAGTTCCGTTCCCTGGTTACTAAAATATTTATGAAATGTAATTAAGTGAAGTCTCTAATTTAATAGACATTTAAGAGTAGTAAAGTCCTCTTAAAGGAAGCACTAGTATTTAACGATAAGATTTAGTCACAGATACGTTAGTCTTATCCGCATGGAGAGCATCTATAAATATATCTTAAA